AAACAAGGACAGAAGATCATAAATACAATAAAAGACAATAATGAAATGCTAGATAATCCCGAAGAAATAAAGAACGTTTTCCTTAAATTTTACAAAGAACTATATAAGAAAGAAAATGAGGAGAAGATAAGAAAACATAAACTGAGGGCAATTTGCCAAGAAAGAAGAGAACAACTAGAAAAACCAGTATCAGAAGAAGAGATTATAGATGCAATTAAGCAAGGAAAGAATGGGAAGGCCCCAGGGCCTGATGGCATACCAATTAAATATTATAAGAAATTAAGTCAAATTAAGTCCTCTCACTAAAGGAAATAATGAATAATATAATGGAAAAAAGCAGATTCCCAATAAATGGGAATTTAAATAAATGGACACATTCTATTCATGTAAGAACGTGCTGATTCCCAGACCGTCAACGGGCCAGATTGAGAATGTGATTGGGCCGCATCCGGCCCATGGGCCTTAGGTTGCCTACCACTGCTCTACATGCTGTGAGACTGCAACTCCCAGTAGTCACAGGCAGGGATGAGTGAATCCTTCTCATTTTTCCACACTTACCTTCAGTTCTCTACCCGCCCAGGGTTTCCAGCCTCGTTGCTTGGCTTTGAGACCATATGTGCTTTCCTGAAGAAACCATGATGCAAACAAAATATGGCTTTGTGTGAATGATTTATTTCTCTCTATGTGTGTCCTTCTATATGCATGTTGGTTTAAGCAGTATATGAATAACTTAAATCTATAAACTGTTATTATTATAACTGTTATTATTGTTAATTAAATATACAGTGTGGTACCTCGGGTTACATACGCTTCAGATTACAGACTCTGCTAACCCGGAAACAGTACCTCGGGTTAAGAACTTTGCTTCAGGATGAGAACAGAAATCGTGCTCTGGTGGCACAGCAGCAGCTGGAGGCCCCATTAGCTAAACTGGTGCTTCAGGTTAAGAACAGTTTCAGGTTAAGAACGGACCTTCAGAACGAATTAAGTACTTAACCCGAGGTACCACTGTACTGCACTTCATGGAAGGATCAAAGGGTGGTTCACAGCAAAAAAAAAAATACAAGATAAAAACCCAAAACACAATGAAAGCAAGAACCCAAGAACAAAGCATACCAATAACACCTTTAAAAGATATAGAAATGTTTTTGCCTGGTGCCTACAAATGCATATTATTAACTATAATAATAATAATAATAATAATAATAATAATAATAATAATAATACATTTCTTAATCACCTTTCCCATGAGAACATAAAAAGGACCTGCTGGCTCAGCTAACAGCTCATCCAGTCTCCAACTTACCGCAGTGAATGCCATTATGGTAAGACAGTGAAGACCTCGAAGCTTCAATGGACTGTCAAATCCAGGTAGAATTTCGCTCCTGGAAAGATCATAGTAAATCGCCCAGGAGAGGAGAGACAGGGAAGGAATCTCTATAACTCCATTCAACCCAAGCAGGAGGTTCTGAAAAAGTTCCATTTCTCTGTTCCAAAGAGTGAGACGCAAACATTGAGCCTAAACTGTCAGCATTTGCTGCTGTTTAACTCCACCAGTGGTATCTATACACAGCCGGTTGTAGGTTGGTTGATGAACTATTTCCCAATTACAGCACAGACTTCCATGTAGATGTGATATCCATCAGAATACCAAGAACAATTTTATGGGTCTTGACGGTGGCACAATTAGTGGTGCCCTATTTAGGAATTTCAAGTCCAGCTACCAAACCATCCAGCTCCAGGTAAAGCTTTTCAGTTTTACATACCCCGGGTGTTTGTTGACTGAAGTTCCAAACATCCCCACCCAGCTTAACCCAATAGTCAGGAATGGTGGGAGTTCTAGTCTAAGGTGGAAGAGGACTTGTGCGCACTTCCTGGCCCAAGATTTCCAAGGCTTCCGACATGAGTCCCATTCCTACCTAAGACCCTGGATATTCAAATCATGGGCTCTGGACTTCCAGTTTTACCACTGCCATTTGAAGGAGCAGAATATCAACTTTCCAGAGAGGTCCTGAGCTTTGAGAGGAAAATAAAGGTTACACTAGGGCAAAAGCGAGGTTATGTAAGGGGCTGGGGGTTTGTCTGTGTTCAGAGGCGTAGGGGGGAGCCCAGTATTCGTTGTGGACAAGAAAACAACGAATCAGCATCGCCTTGCAGTGGATTATCGCCTGTTGAACAAGGTAACTGAACCCGTAGCCTTCCCCATGCCCAGAATTGACGATGTTTTGATGCATGTGAGGCAGGGGAAATTTTTACCAAACTGGACCTAAGGGGAGCATACAATCTGATTAGAGTGAGAGAGGGGGACGAATGGAAGACGACCATGTTAACCCCCCTGGGGGCGTTTGAGTATCTCGTCATGCCGTTTGGATTGCAATTGGGATCCACCTGCTTTCAAGCCTTTATGCACCACGTGTTGGGGCCCCTGCTGTACAAGAATTGTGTGGCCTTTTTGGAGGACATTTTGATCTTCCCTGAAAATGAAGCACAGCACGTGAAAGACATCAGGCATGTGCTAGAGAGATTGAAGAAGCATCAGTTGTAGGTCAAGCTGGAGAAATGCCAATTCCATGCTTGAGAGGTGGAGTTCCTGGAGTACCGACTGTCAAACAAGGGGCTGGCCATGGACCCAGAGAAGGTGAAGCAGTGCTGGAATGGAAGAGTCCCAAAACAAAGAAGGATGTGCAGAGGTTCCTAGGTTTCAGCAACTTCTACAGGAAGTTCATCAAGAACTTTGCTCACTCGACAGCACCCATAACGGATTGTCTCAGCGGCAAGAAGAAGTTTGCGTGGACCAAGGAAGTGCAGCAGTGCTTTGAAAGGTTAAAGAAGGCTTTTGCCTCTGAGGAGCAGCTCCTGCACGTGGATCCTGGGAAGCCACTGAGAGTGGAGACGGACGCTTCAGACCAGGCCATCGGAGCGGTACTGTTGCAACAAGGGTCAGCGGAGGACTGCAGACCTTGTGCGTTTTTCTCCAGGAAACTGAGCAAGTCAGAACAACATTACACTGTTTATGACAAAGAATTGCTGGCCATTTATGCAGCCTTTTTGGCAGTGGACACACTTTTTGATTGGGTCGCAGCACCAGATCCAGGTCCGAATGGACCACAAGAACCTGGAAAACTGGCGAACAGCGTGTGTGCTAAACCAGAGACAGGTCCGGTGGCCGCAAACATTATCACGGTATCACTTTGAGATACAATATGTACCTGGGGGGGGGGATGTGAGGTCGGAAGCACTTTCCAGAAAACCTGAGTATATGGAAGGCGAAGTACCTCCTGTGGCCAGCCCAAGTTCCCAGAAGACTGATGGTCATGTGGGGGAGCACTGGTAGGGGAGCAAGAACTGGTTGGGCTCACCAGACACGATGAGTTTGCTCCGATTAAATTAGGGAGCTCAGAGATGGAAAGGGGGAAATGGGGAGGGTTGAGGAAAAAGGAGGGCTCTTGTACTACAAAGGGGCACTGTATGCAACGGGAGAAGCATTGAGGGCCAAAATACTTAGGCAGCTCCATGACAACCCCACAGCCGGGCATTTTGACCAACTCCCTTCTCTTGCGGGGGCCCAAATAGTACCATTGTCTTCCGTTAAGACTTTGGGTGTAATCCTTGACGCCTCCCTTTCCATGGAGGTGCAAGTTACAGCAACAGCCAAGGCGACATTTTTCCACCTTCGCCGCATGAAACAGTTGGTCCCTTACCTTTCCTGCCCCGACCTGGCCACAGTGATCCATGCAACGGTCATCTCCAGGCTTGACTACTGTAATTCGCTCTACGCGGGGCTGCCCTTGAAGCTGTCCCAGAAACTCCAGCGGGTACAGAATGCTGCAGCAAGGTTCCTCACGGGGTCTCTGCCATGGGAGCATATTCACCCAGTGCTTTTCAAGCTGCACTGGCTCCCGGTGGAGTACAGGGTCAGATTTAAGGTGCTGCTTTTGACCTTTAAAGCCCTTCACAGCCTAGGACCCTCGTACCTACTGGACCGCCTCTCCTGGTATGCCCCACGGAGAGCCTCAAGGTCCATAAATAGCAACACCCTAGTGTTCCCGGGCCCTAATAAAGTTAGATTAGCTTCAACCAGAGCCAGGGCCTTTTCAGCTCTGGCTCCGGCCTGATGGAACGCTCTGCCTCATGAGACCAGGGCCCTGCAGGATCTGATTTCTTTCCACAGGGCCTGCAAGACAGAGTTGTTCCGCCTGGCCTTTGGCTTGGAGCCAATTTGATTTCCCCCCCCTCTCTTTCTTTTTTCTTTTCCTTCTCCTCCTGCGATGAGGCTACATTTCAATATTTTAATGTCTCAATATTTTAATGTTGTATTTTAATTTTGTTTTTAAGTTGTGATCATTCAACTTGTTTTTATTATTGCTTATAAGCTGCTCTGAGCCCGGCCTTGGCTGGGGAGGGCGGGGTATAAATAAAAATTATTATTATTATTATTATTATTATTATTAGACCATGCTACTAGTCACCAGACAGTTCTGGTGGCCCAAGGTGGCCCATTTTTGGAGGTTTACATCAATACAAATGACAGAATCGATAAAATATGTGAACCAATAGGCTTTCCTTTGATATATTTTTTAAGCAGAGGAATCTTCAAAAGTTCATCAAATCATAGATCTTATTCTACTTGCCTCCACTGAGTTTTTTGTGGTGTTTGCTGTCACCTTGGTTTCCAGACCCTTGATCAGCCTGATCTCCTTCCTCTGCACAAATTCCAGCTTATCAATTATCCTAATTAAATTGTAGTGCCCAGAACTGGACACAGTTCTCCTGGTCAAGGCAAAATGGAGTGGAACTATTACTTCTCTTGATCAGGACACTATAATTCTGTTGATTCGGCCTAGAACAGCATTAGCAGTGCAGATCTCCAGCCAACTAATGGGAAAATGGAAGAGGAAATGTCTGTAAAATGCATATATTAGTGAAAATAATATAGAAATGACATATATTAGAGCAAATTGTTTGTAATCCATATGAAGTAAACATGTTTCTTGGTGAAATTTCACACTAAAGTGCTGGTGAATTTTCATGAGGAATTCCCCACTGCCCCCAAGAACCACATATTTCTACAGAATCATGGAGAACTGAACAGAAGATTGTGAAAATCAGAAACTATCAGAAGCTGAAGTTGGCAGATTGTCCCCTCTTTATGAATGACTCACAAATTCAAGATATTTCCTTTCATAAGTTTTTGACAAAGTCTACGATGCTGTCCATTAATTCAACTGCAGCAGGGAATGCCAAGATGCATCCTTTGAAGAAGTTTATCATCCCATGAAACCCGTTCTCAACATGGAACCAGCTGACTTCCACCCCGTGGTCCACCAGACGTTTCTTGTACAGCAGTACGTCGTCTCGTACTACGTCGTACTCGCAGCTCACAATTAGGGTTTCAGGAAGCTTCTGGATAACAGAGTCCTCAGCAAAAAGGCAAGAATAGTCTTCTAATGTCTCTGATAATTGCCTATAGACTTCAGGTTCATAAGGAGCAAGTGGGACTTGTTTGTAGCCTCTCCCCTTAAATCTCTCAGGAATGTTGTCTGGACTCAACCACTTCCCAAATTTCAGCCTCATTGAATCTGGCACATGAGAGCCCTTCAGGACCTGGCCTAACAAAGAAGTGTCCTTTCCAATATACTTCAATCCAAAGTAAACAACACTTTCCCGGAACAGGATGGGCATTGAACTGTTCTGCTGATAGGAAGGCAGGTTGTAGTCCAGAGCCTGTGTATAAGGATAGATGAGCACTTGAGCCCGTAGCTTTGGAAGGTCTGATCTCTCCACCAATTTCTGGGCAACAACAGAAGCATAATTGCCCCCAGAACTGTCCCCACCAACAATGATCTTGGAAGGATCCACCCCATGAGAAGCTGCATTTTGAATTAGGTGTATGGTAGCAGCAAGGCAGTCCTTGTACTGAGCGGGAGGAAGATGCTCAGGTGACAGGCGGTAGCTGCAGAATAAAACAGAAGCAAAGAGGTAAGCTTCCAGACTCTTTTCCAAACACATTCATGATCACATAGGATTACAAGAAGAGCCTGCTGGATCAGTTATAGCAGATACAATGCAGGTGACAGTCAACTGGCTTATGCCCTTAAAAAACCGACTTTACCAGCTAGCAAAAGAGTGTAGGGAACACTGGGGAAGCAGAACCCTGCAGGATTGGATCCAGCTGGTGGAAGACCATTTGCCAGTTGCAACTTTTCCTCCTCCTCCTGTTTAGATGCAGGGGGCGTTTCCCAGTCTCTTCCTGATTATACATTTAAAAGCCCTAACTGAACATTAGCCCCACTCCCGAATTGATTCCAGGCTGGATCTGGGTTGGGTGGTCTCCAAGTTGAGGCTGATCTGGAGGCCCTGGTTAGGGGTGCTGTGCAAGGCCTTATGCCCAGCTCATAGTCCCCCCATGGAAGCGAGCGTGTTCATGTCTTAAGCACATGAAGCTCTGATTTTCAATCACAGAACAGAATGTTGACAGCTTTTGTGGGGAGCCTCTTTCTCCTGCAAGGAATATGACAAGGGATGCCAGCCTGAAATACAGCAGCATGCTGGGCCCTTACACGCTTTCCCTACGAAAGGCCATGTGGTTGTGTTTACTTACCCAACAGACACAACCACTGAATCACTCTCCTTGGCAATCTTGCTGCAGACATCTTCATAGAATGCTAGCAAGTTGGGAGGGAAATTCAAAATTGGGAAGCAATTATGTGGAAGATATACCTAACGAAAGGAAGCTGTTTCACAACCCAGGGGTGATGCATTCACAGAAGTCCCACCGAAATGCATGGACATAAGTCACAGCAGAACCTGAAGGATGACACCTTTGGCTTCCATTGCTCTACATCAGGGGTCAGCAACCTTTTTCAGCCATGTGGTGGGCCAGACTATATGGGAGGGGGGATGAACGAATTCCTATGCCCCACAAATAACCCAGAGATGCATTTTAAATAAAAGGACACATTCTACTCATGTAAAAACACGCTTATTCACAGACCGTCAACGGGCCAGATAGAGAAGGTGATTGGGCCACATCCAGCCCACAGGCCTTAGGTTGGCTACCCCTGCTCTACATGTTGTGAGACTGCAACTCCCAGGAGTCACAGGCAGGAATGAATGAATCCTTTCTCATTTTTCCACACTTACCTTCCGTTCTCTACCTGCCCAGGGTTTCCAGCAACTGCTAGGCAGAAGCACTGCTGCCTCCAATCTTGCCTTAAAAAGCACATTTTTGCAAAGAAATCTTCCCTTACATAAGATATTGGTACATGCAATATTCACTGACATAAGCCTTTTTATGCATCGTGCACACCCCATTGCTAGAGTGCTGCGTTGTAAGTGTCAGAGACTGACTTTGGGTTCACATATTGCTTCACAAGATGCAAAATAAATAGGTTCCCATATAAAAACAAAATGAATCAAATTACAACCTCACCCCCCCAAAAAAAATATCTCCAGCTGGCAGAGTAACAAAGGCAGGCAGTTTGCTGCTTCAGAATGTGGGGGGAGATGCCCTGGAAGAGGTTACTAGAGTAGAGCTCTCAGAGAAATCTTCGCTGGACAGCAAGGGGGGAGGATGTCCCAAATTCTCCTCGCAGCAGGATGGAGGAGAATGTGAAAATGCTAAGTAAGGGGGAAAGGGGAAGGACTGGATCTTGTCTCCCTTTGTGTTGTCTGAGAAACGGAAACTCAGACTGAGCACGTTGTATTGGAGAATGACAGGCGTTTTGAGGGTCCGGCGACGCGGGGACCCTCAAAAACCACGGGCGCGGAAGCCCGTCGACCTGGTGACTTGGCGGGCACCGTTTGCGCCCTCCCCGACCCGCGAAGGAGCCTTTTTAAAGGCTACGGAACGGGGGACGGGGAGCGGCGCGGTGCTGTGAGTCTTCTGCTTCCCCTGCCGAGCGAAGCCGCATGCCATTTGGCGGAGAGCGCTGACTTCTTCTTCTGAGCATTTGGACTAAAAATAACAACCCGTGAGTAATACGGAAATCGGAATTAAAAGGGAAATTTTTCTTTTCTTGGATTCGGTACGAGCGGGGGAGGTGCAAAGAGGAAGTCCGTCTCCCCCCACTGTAAACAATTTAAAGCAAGGATTTGACAACTAAGGTCGTGAGAAGAGTTTTTTCTTTATTGGATAAAAGTTATTAATTTCACAATTGGAAATTACAAGTAATTTTGCTGGAGGATAAGAGTTGATTGTGAGAGGTAAAGTGCAACCCCCCGGGAACCGGGAGCGATCCGCGAGAGAGCCTGGTGAAGAGATACAGAGATTTTGACAGCTGTCAAAGTAGCTGTCAAAGTTGGATAATAAAGAGAGAACTTTGTTTCTGTGACTTTGCTGGTTAGATTTGTTACAATTTGGATATAAATTGTTGAAAATAAGGAACAACAAGTTAGTTTGACCTTTGGGTTGGACCTGGAAGGAAACTAATTAACCATAATCCCTCTAGAGGGGGTTTGGGACATTAGAAGAATGGCTGTAAGTGGAAAAATACTTACTGAGTTGAACAGGACTTTTTATCTCCTGGGAAAGCTTAAAGAACAGAACATTATTTTGTCTACAGAGGTTTCTACACTGAAGGAGACAATAGACATATCTATTGAAAATGGAAGGGACTTGACGCAAGTTTTCGTTCCTGAACAAAAAGCCCCTGTAGCGGAATTAGAAGTTTTTGCAGCTGAGCAGGAAAAGAAACCTGAGAAAAGTGATGAAAGGAAACAAGAGAGTTATGATGATCTGGAAGGGAATGAAGGAGGAGTTACATCGTCGCAGAAGATCAAGGAAGGCCAAAGGCCTGTCAGGAAGGACATAAAGGAAAACAAGAATTGGATCATGAAAATTTGGTTTGAATTGGACAAGGAAGACTGGAGAGATCTCCTGTTGTGGAGATCTGAGGACCCATGGATTACAAATTTGAGCAAGATGAAAGTTGGAGCTTTTGGGACATTCAGACTCAAAAGGTTTAAGAAACAAGATTTGAGCTCCACTTTTAAATATAGAGGTCTGGATGGAAGAAAAATGGACATTTTTGAGTCAGAGCTTCTCTGAGACTTGGTGTTTGATATAAAGGACTATCAAAAAAACCGGCAAAGAGGAACTGAGAGAGAATTAAGAGCCTCGGATGTGAGGGCTCCAGGCTGATAGCAGATAGGCTGATGGACATGGGGGATCGAAACCGGGAAAGGGGGGTTGGAGCTTGGGGAATCCAAAGGGTGTATAATTATATTTTGAATTTTTCTTCTTTTTTATTTTGTTCTGCTATGAGTATAAAATTGGGAATTCGTGGAAGGGAATCGGGGTCGACCTTAGGAAAAGATTTTAATGTATAAAAACTGTGGATTATAAGGTAAAAGTGGCTAGATAAAATGAACTAAATTTAATAATGAATTAAATACAATAAGGTTAAAAATTGGGGATAAGAACTTGTTGAACCAAATAAATGGAAATGGAATACAAGAAGGGGAGGGGTGGGGAAGTCTTGGAAAGATGGTATTGAAAGTAAGGTCTTAAATGTAAATGTTTTCTTTTTTCTTTTTCTTTTGTCTTTTTTGGATTTTTTGGAAACTTCAATAAATATGATATTATTTTTTTAAAAAAAGAAAGAATGACAGGCGTTTGCCACATCCTGTGATTTTGAACTGTAAATAAACGTACATAAATCTTCCAGAGGCTCATTAATTCTTACTGGAACTGTTTGTCTGCCTGAGATCATTACACACAGATCCATGAGTTGCAAGCTTTCATTTACTTAACATGTTATCGTTTGTATTCATATTTGCAAACCTATTGCAATTTTCAGAGACAGGAAAAACAGGAAAAACAAACTTGTTGTAAGAAACTCCCAAATTCCACCTTAGAAGAAATCTGTCTGGCCGTTGAAATGAGGGAGCATGGGAGTTGTATTCCAGGAAGCAAGATCTTAGAAGGGCACAGGTGCCCCTATTCCCCCAAATATGAATGTCTGTAGCAATAGCAAGCTCTTGCAAGAGGTTGTGTCACCAGTCTCCTGACTCCCAATTTCTTCATGTGTCACTTAATCTTAGCCTACCTTCCTCCCACAGTTCCTGCTTCATCGGCTGTTGCAATGGAAGGCTACTGAATGGGACTTGTTAACTGCCAACCTGTTACATTGCAATTGGTCTTGCGAGATGAAACCTGGTGCAAGTCCAGTTCTCTCAACCACTCATATTGTCCCTAAGAGATGGGAAAGAGCCATTCTGGACCCAGCCAGCCCAGCCTTGTGTTCTCCCCAACGCCAACCAGATGTCAGCAGGAAGCCCACAAAGAGAGCCTGGCTGCAACAGCACTCTGCTCACCTGCATGGGGAAATTTCAGGCATGATGGCAGGCGATTTGGGGAACTCTGATAATAAGTTTGTTGCTTTGTGTTTCTGAAAGTGGCACTGCTATTTGCCAACTTGTAAAATTGTGATTGGTTTTCTGAGATGGAAACCTGGCGGAGGTCCAGTTTCGGGTTACGGGTTTCGGAAAGTTGACCTATGTATTAATTATCACTTTGTATAAATTAACACATGTGGGTGTGGTGGGTGAGTGTGGGATTTGGTCAGGTGTAAATGAGGGGGTGGCCAGGGGTGGGAGGGTGGCTGGGTTGGTAAGCAGAGCAATCAGGAACAGCAACCTATTAGATACATATTTGTGAACCTATTTGAGGTTCTATGAAACCAAGTGTTATATGAATTTTATGAAAGGAATGAGTCAGTATCAGCAGTGGGGGCATCTGTCTCTCCCCCAGGGGCTGCTTGCTGAAGTGCAGCTCCCCGGTTCCCTGACCATTGACCACTAGAGCGGTGGGATCTGGGAAGCCATGAGAACAAGAGGGTCCATGTGTATAAATTAACATATGCAAATCCAAAGCACACATGTGCCCCTTGTCTCTTCAGGAACTACCACCAACACTCTTGTATTTCAGCCCTGTAAACCTCTCTTACAATGATATCTGAAGCACTTCTACCCAGAAAGCAGATTCCAACTAAGCATTAGAAACACCTTTCTGATGGTAAGAGTTGTTCGACAGGGAACCACCTCGCTTGGGAGGTGGCAAGCTCTCTTTGACTGGAGGTTTGACAATAGAGGTTTCACAACATTTCTAGGATTCTACATGGGCTTATTGAGTTCAATGGGAATTGCCTCTAGATAAGTGTTCATAGGCTCACAGTTTTAATCTCTTACCAATGCTCCCAATCATCCCAGCACCTCCATGAAAGAACACAAATCCTTTCCTTGGGTCAGCAGATGGTGTTTTGGGCTGATAAACCCTCACAGGCACCCCGTCAAAAAGCAGATCTTTGGCAGAGAGGCTGGGATCCGCTCTTGGATTCCAGAAACTCTGGAGGAAGCGGATAACAGCAACCTGTCTGCAGACACCCAGCAGTTCAAGACACTTCCCCTTGTTGGGCAAGGGAAAAGTCTCATGAAAATAGTGCCCACATTTGCAACCTATTCACAATGGGTGGTATCCAAATAAGTCCTATTTAAAGTAGACACATGAAAATGAATGAGCACATGTTAGCCAAGTCGATTAATTTCAATTGGTCAGCATAGAATTGGTCACCCCAACCCAAACACCCGCCAAGGTATAGAGGCAAAAGAAGCTGGGAAACAAGCTAAGCTTTGGAGAAACAATCCACAATCTCCCTGCTTGCCTATGAGGCAATATGTGCTTTCCTGAAGAAGCCTTGATGTAAAGAAAATATGGCTTTCTCTCTCTATGTGTGTCCTTCTATAGGCTGAAAGGAAGCCCTTGTTGAATGTGATAATATCTTCATCGCATCGTCAAGTGAATTCATTGATTTTACTGATTTCATTATGCATGTTGGATTAAGCAGTATATGAATTACTTAAATATATAAACTGTTATTTATTATTTTTAATTAAATAAATATACTGCCCTTCATGAAAGGATCTAATGGTGGTTCACAGCAAAAAAAAAATGCAAGATAAAAACCCAAAATACACAATGAAAGAACAAAGCAAACCAATAACATCTTTAAAAGATATAGAAATGTTTTTGCCTGGTGCCTACAGATAAGTATTATTAACTCTAATAATAATAATACATTTCTTAATCACCTTTCCCATAATAACATAAGAAGGACCTGCTGGCTCAACTAACGGCTCATTCAGTCCCCAACTTACCGCAGTGAATGCCATTATGGCAAGACAGTGAAGACCTCGAAGCTTTAATGGACTGTCAAATCGAGGTGGAATTTCACTCCTGGAAAGATCATAGTAAATCGCCCAGAAGAGGAGAGACAGGGAAGGAATCCCTATAACTCCAATCAACGCCAGCAGCAGGCTCTGAAGAAGCTCCATTTCTCCGTTCCAAAGAGTGAGACGCAAACACTGAGCCTAAACTGTCAGCATTTGCTGCTGTTTAACTCCACCGTGGTATCTATACACAGCCGGTTGAAGGTTGGTTGATGAACTGTTTCACAATAGAACACAGACTTCCCTGTAGATGTGATATCTATCAGAATACCAAGAACAATTTTATGGGTCTTGACGGTGGCAAAATTAGTGGTGCCCTATTTAGGAATTTCAAGTCCAGCTACCAAACCATCCAGCTCCAGGTAAAGCTTTTCAGTTTTACATACCCCGGGTGTTTGTTGACTGAAGTTCCAAACATCCCCACCCAGCTTAACCCAATAGTCAGGAATGGTGGGAGTCCTTGTCTGAGGTGGAAGAGGACTTGTGCGCACTTCCTGGCCCAAGATTTCCAAGGCTTCCGACATGAGTCCCATTCCTACCTAAGACCCTGGATATTCAAGTCATGGGCTCTCGACTTCCGAAGGAGCGCAATATCAGCTCTCCAGAGAGGTCCTGAGCTTTGACTGGCAAAAAGAGGTTACGCTAGGGCAAAAGCGAAGTTATGCTAGGGGCTGGGGGTCTGTCTGTGTTCAGAGGCGTAGCAGGGAGCCCAGTATTCATTGTGGAAAAGAAAACGAAGAATCAGCATCGCCTTGCAGTGGATTATTGCCTCTTGAACAAGGTAACTGAACCCGTAGCCTTCCCCATGCCCAGAATTGACGATGTTTTGATGCGTGTGAGGCAGGGGGAATTTTTACCAAACTGGACCTAAGGGGTGCATACAATCTGACTAGAGTGAGAGAGGGGACGAATGGAAGACGACCATGTTCACCCCCCCTGGGGGCGTTTAGGTATCTCATCATGCCGTTTGGATTGCAATCGGGATCCGCCTGCTTTCAAGCCTTTATGCACCACGTGTTGGGGCCCCTGCTGTATAAGAATTGTGTGGCCTTTTTGGAGGACGTTTTGATCTTCCCTGAAAATGAAGCACAGCACATGAAAGACGTCAGGCAGGTGCTAGAGAGATTGAAGAAGCATCAGTTGTAGGTCAAGCTGGACAAATGCCAATTCCATGCTCGAGAAGTGGGGTTCCTGGGGTACCGACTGTCAGACAAGGTGCTGGCCATGGAGCCGGAGAAGGTGAAAGCAGTGCTGGAATGGAAGAGCCCCAAAACAAAGAAGGATGTGCAGAGGTTCCTAGGTTTCAGCAACTTCTACAGGAAGTTCATCAAGAACTTTGCTCACTTGACAGCACCCATAACGGATTGTCTCAGTGGCAAGAAGAAGTTTGCATGGACCAAGGAAGTTCAGCAGTCCTTTGAAAGGTTAAAGAGGCTTTCGCCTCTGAGGAGCAGCTCCTGCACGTGGGTCTGGGGAAGCCACTGAGAGTGGAGATGGACGCTTCAGACCGGGCCATCGGAGCATTACTGTTGCAACAAGGGTCAGGGGAGGACTGCAGACCTTGTGCGTTTTTCTCCAGGAAACTGAGCAACTCAGTGCAAAACTACACTGTTTATGACAAAGAATTGCTGGCCATTTATGCGGCCTTTTGGCAGTGGAGACACTTTTTGATTGGGGCGCACCACCAGATCCAGGTCCATGTGGTTGTGTTTACTTACCCAACAGACACAACCACTGAATCACTCTCCTTGGCAATCTTGCTGCAGACATCTTCATAGAATGCTAGCAAGTTGGGAGGGAAATTCAAAATTGGGAAGCAATTATGTAAAAGATATACCTAACGAAAGGAAGCTGTTTCACAACTCAGGGTGATGCATTCACAGAAGACCCACTGAAATGCATGGACATAAGTCACAGCAGAACCCAAAGGATGACACTTTTGGCTTCCATTGCTCTACATCAGGGTTCAGCAACCTGAACGAATGGAATGAAAGAATTCCTATGCCCCACAAATAACCCAGAGATGCATTTTAAATAAAAGCACACATCCTACTCTTGTTAAAACACGCTGATTCCCAGACCGTCAACGGGGCGGATTGAGAAGGTGATTGGGCCGCATCCGGCCCACAGGCCTTAGGTTGGCTACCCCTGCTCTACATGTTGTGAGACTGCATCTCCCAGTAATCACAGGCAGGGATGTCACACTTACCTTCAGTTCTCTACTCGCCCAGGGTTTCCAGCAACTGCTAGGCAGAAACACTGCTCCCTCCAATCTTGCCTTAAAAAGCACATTTTTGCAAAGAAATCTTCCCTTTCATACAATATTGGTACATGCGATATTCACTGACACAAGCCTTTTCATGCATCGTGAACATCCCATTCCTAGAGAGCTGCATTGCAAGCGTCAGAGACTGACTTTGTGTTCACAAATTGCTTCCCAAACTGCAAATTAAATAGGTTCACATATAAAAACAAATTGAACAAAATTACAACCTCCCACCCCCTCCCCCAGACACAAACAAATCTTCAGCTTAAGAGATATGGGGCATGGTGTCGGGGATCCAGCAGGGTCAGACGCTTGGGAGTGGTCTGATTCTGAGAATGAGGCTGACTCTGAGAATGAGAGATCGCAGCCTCAGGCAAGGCAAGGGTGGGTTTACTTAGCCCCCCTTCCTTCTCAGTCTTAAGAAGCCGGCAGAGTAACAAAGGCAGGAAATTTGCGGCTTCAGAATGTTGGGGGGGAGATGTCCTGGAAGAGGATACTAGAGTAGAGCTCTCAGAGGAATCTTCGCTGGGCAGCGAGGGGGGGAGGATGCCCAAATTCTCCTCGCAGCAGGATGGAGGAGAATGTGAAAATGCTAAGTAAGGGGGAAAGGGGAAGGACCGGATCTTGTCTCCCTTTGTGTTATCTGAGAAACGGAAACTCAGACTGAGCACGTTGTATTGGAGAATGACAGGCGTTTGGCACACTCTGTGATTTTGAAATGTAAATAAAAAGGTAAAGGGACCCCTGACCATTAGGTCCAGTCGTGGCCGACTCTGAGGTTGCGGTGCTCATTTTGCTTTATTGGCCGAGGGAGCCGGCGTTTGTCTGCAGAGAGCTTCCGGGTCATGTAGCCAGCATGACTAAGCTGCTTCTGGCGAACCAGAGCAGCGCACGGAAACGCCGTTTACCTTCCCACCTGAGCAGTACCTATTTATCTACTTGCACTTTGACATGCTTTCAAACTGCTAGGTTGGCAGGAGAAACTGTAAATAAACGTACATAAATCTTCCAGAGGCTCTTTAATTCTTATCAGAGCTGTTTGCCTGCCTGAGATCATTACAGAAGAGAAGAAGAAGAGTTTGGATTTGATATCCTGCCTTTCATTCCCTTTAAGGAGTCTCAAAGTGGCTAACATTCTCCTTTCCCTTCCTCTCCCACAACACACACTCTGTGAGGTGAGTGGGGCTGAGAGACTTCAAATAAGTGTGACTAGCCCAAGGTCACCCAGCAGCTTCATGTGGAGGAGCAGAGACGCGAACCCGGTTCCCCAGATTACGAGACTACCGCTCTTAACCACTACACCACACTGGCATCTGTGTGTATCATGGATATACACAGATCCATGAGTTGCAAGCTTTCATTTAATTAACATGTTATCGTTTGTATTCATATATGCAAACCTATTGCAATTTTCAGAGACAGGAAAAACAAACATGTTATAAGAACCTCCCAAATCTCCACCTTGGAAGAAATCTGTCTAGCCGTTGAAGCGGGGGAGCATGGGAGTTGCATTCAAGGAAGCGAGATCTTGGAGGGGCAAAGGTGCCCCCTATTCCCCAAATATGAATGTCTGTAGCAATAGCAAGCTCTTGCAGGAGGTTGTGTCACCAGTCTCCTGACTCCCAATTTCTGTATGTGTAACTTGTTCCTAGCCTTCCTTCCTCCTACAGTCCTGCTTCATAGGCTGTTGCAATGGAAGGCTACTGAATGGGACTTGTTAACTGCCAACCTGTTACACTGCAATTGGTCTTCTGAGGTGAAACCTGGTGCGAGTCCAGTTCTCTCAGCCACTCATATCGTTATCCTTGAGGGATAGGAAAGAGCCATTCTGGATTAGGCCAAAGGCCCAGCCAGCCCAGCCTTGTGTTCTCCCCAAGGCCAACCAGATGTCAGCAGGAAGCCCACAAAGAGAGCCTGTCTGCAACAGCACTCCGCTCACCTGCATGGGGAATTTTCGGGCGTGATGGCAGGCGATTTGGGGAACTCTGATAACAAGTTTGTTGTTTTGTGTTTCTGAAAGTGGCACTGCTATTTGCCAACTTGTAAAACTGATTGGTTTTGTGAGATGGAAACCTGGCGGAGGTCCAGTTTCGGGTAACAGGTTTCGGAAAGTTGACCTATGTATTAATTATCACCTATGTATAAATTAGCACATGTGGGTGTGTTGAGTGGGTGTGGGATTTGGTCAGGTGTAAACAAGGGGGTACCCAGGGGTGGGAAGGGGGCTGGGTTGGTAAGCAGAGCAATCAGGAACAGCAACCTATTACAGTGGTACCTCAGGTTACATACACTTCAGGTTACAGACTCCGCTAACCCAGAAATAGTGCTTCAGGTTAAGAACTTTGCTTCAGGATGAGAACAGAAATTCTGCTCCGGCAGCGCAGCAGCAGCAGGAGGCCCCATTAGCTAAAGTGGTGCTTCCGGGTTGGCGCCAGCGCCGAATGGCGGACTCCCTCCGAGTTCCGGAGGGAGTCTGCTCAGCAGGGGTCGGGTCCCGCCACGCCGGCGACGCAGGGACCCTCAGAAACCATGGGCGCGGATGCCCATGGACCTGGTGACTCGGCGGGCACCGTTTGCGCCCCCCGACCCGCGAAGGAGCCTTTTTAAAGGCTCCAGAGCGGGGGATGGGGGGTGGCGTGGTGCTATGAGTCTTCCGCTTCCCCTGCCGAGCGAAGCCGCATGCCATTCAACGGAGAGCGCTGACTTCTTCTTTTGGAAATTTGGACCTAAAATAACAACCCGTGAGTAATCTGGAAATCGGACCTAAAAGGGAAAATGTTTTTTTTTTTAATTCGGTACAAGCGGGGGAGGTGCAAAAAGGAAGTCCGTCTCCCCCCTATTGTAGACAATTTAAAGCAAGGATTTGACAACTAAGGTCGAGAGAAGAGCTTGCTCTTTCTTATTGGTAAAAGCTATTAATTTCACGATGGGAAATAATAAGTAACTGTGCTGGAGGAGAAGAGTGGATGAGCTAAAATGCAACCCCCCCGGGAACCGGGAGAGATCCGTGAGAGAGCCTGGCGAAGAGATATAGAGATTTTGACAGCTGTCAAAGTAGCTGTCAAAGTTGGAGAATAAAAAGAGAACTTTGTTATGAGGACTTTGCTGGTTAGATTTGTTACAATTTGGATATAAATTGTCGAAAATAAGGAATACAAGTTAACTTGACTTTTGGGTTTGATTTGGAAGGAAACTAAGTTACCATAATCCCCCTAGAGGGGCTTTTGGACATTACAAGAATGACTGTAAGTGGAAAAATACTCATGGAATGGGACTGGACTATTTTATCTCCTGGGAAAGCTGCAAAACCGAAACATTATTTTGTCTATTGAAGAATGGAAGGGACTTGACTTAAGTTTTTGTTCCTGAATAAATAACACCTCTGTAGAGGAACCAGAAGTTTTTGAATTAGTATGTTTTTGCAGCGCAACAGGAAAAGAAATTTGAGGAAAGAGAACAAGGGATCCACGACGATTTGGAAGAGAATGAAGGAGGTGGACAGAAGTTAAGAAAGATTTAGACATATGGTCAAGGCTGAAACTTTCCTTGTTAGGCAGAATTGCTGTTATTAAAATGAATGTATTGCCTAGAATGCTATTCCTGTTTCAGACATTACAAATAATAGACAAGATGGACTGTTTCAAGAGGTGGCAGAAAGACATATCGAAATTTGTTTGGCAGGGCAAAAAGCCAAGAATAAAATTTAAGACATTAACAGACGCAAAAGATAGAGGAGGTTTTGCCCTGCCGGACTTAAGACTTTACTATGAATCAGCAGCGTTTTGCTGGCTGAAAGACTGGCTGCTCCTCGAGAATACAGATATTTTGGATCTTGAAGGGTTTGATAATAGATTTGGTTGGCATGCATATATATGGTATGACAAGGTAAAAGTACATAAAGGCTTTAAGAACCATATGGTGAGGAAAGCTCTGTATAATGTTTGGATAAGGTATAAAGATTTGTTTGAAAGCAAAACCCCTAGGTGGCTGTCACCAATGGAGGCAAATGAGGTGAAAAAACTGAATATGGGTTCTAATTGGCCTAAATATTTTGAAATGATAGAACAAGATGGTGAAAAAGTAAAATTGCAGAGTTTCGAGAATCTGAAGTTTAAGGTGAGAGATTGGCTACATTATCGGCAGATAAATGAAGTATTTAAACAGGACAGAAAGAAAGGCTTCCAAGTGGAGAAGTCAAAATTAGAAACAGAACTGTTAGAACCCAATACTAAAAACTTGTCAAGAATGTACAACTTGCTGCTGAAATGGAATACTCAAGATGAAATGGTGAAATCTAGCATGATTAAATGGGCACAGGATATAGGGCATGATATTGAGCTTGCTGACTGGGAGCAGTTATGGACCACTGGTGTTAAATTTACGGCATGTAATGCCTTAAGAGAAAACATTATGAAAA